GGAATCACAATCCCTGACCTGAAATTATACTATAAAGCTACGGTCATAAAATCAGCCTGGTACTGGCTAAAAAACAGGCCCGAGGATCAATACCATTATTTCCTTAATGTAATTGTTGGATTATTTATTGCTGGTATATGAAATACAATTATTTTGTATAATCTTTTATACCTTGCAACCTTGCTGAAATCATTTACTCATTCTGATAACTTTTAGTGGATTTCTTAGTATTCTTTCTATATAAATCTCTTGTGAACAAAGGGTTTAACATTTTGCTTTCCTAAATGAATGTGTATTGCTTCTTTCCCTTGAGTAAATGTCTTGCCCAGAACTTCTGGTGACAGGTGGAATTGACACAGTGTGAACAGATATCCTCGTCAGTCCACATCTGAGGGAAATAATGGAATGAAGGTATTGTGGGTGTTCACTGAGCCCCTTCATCAAGCTGAGGAAATTCCCCACTCTCCTTAGATTACTGTGTGTTGTTTTTCATGAGTGAGTACAGTGTTTGTTCAAATGTTTAGTTATGTGTCTGTTGACAAGATTGTGCGTTTTTTAGCTTTTATTCTATAATATGTTGTACTACTATAGATTGGCTTTTAGATGCGGAACCAACCTTATACTCCTGGAATAAGTACCATTCAGCTGTGGTTCATAATCCCGTTGTGTGGTTGTATAATTTGGATCATTAACATCTTGTTTAGGATTTGTCCATTTATATGCACGAGATACTACTTTGGAGTTTTGTTTTCTTCTATCTTTTCTGAACTCATTGAATGAGTTTGAAAGTGCTTCTTAACTATTTTCTAGAAGAATCTGGTGTTAGTGCTTCATTCAACATTTGGTAGAACTGCTGGAGTCTTGTGGCACCAACTGTTTCTTTTACAAAACTTTTTAAATTGCATTTTCCTTCTTTTTATTTGTTGTAGTTTTAATTTGTTTGAGTCAGTTTTAGAAAGTTGTGTCTCAGGAGTCATTCACTGCGTCTCAGTTACTCAGATTTTTGCAGTGTAATTGGGTACAGCGTCGGTGTTACGTATTTCTTCAAGGTCGGTTGTTCCAGCCTTTCATTAATAATTGTAGACTTCTCTCCTTTGTTCTTGTTAATGGGGCTAAAGCTGTTTTCATCTTTTCAAAGAGTTAACTTGGCTAATTAACTTTGTTGTTTTTATATCTTCATTTCAATCATTCTGGCTTTTATCTTTATTATTTTTCTTCTTTTCTTTCTTTGGGTTTATTTTCATCTCCTCACGGTAAGTTACTAATGTGGCCGGTAGGGCTAATGACTTGAGATGCTTCTCTCTGAAATATTGCGGTTTCCTGCTATACATCTGCCGAGTGTTGCTCTAGCTGAATAACTATAAGTTTGTCAAGCTATATTTTAATTAATGTAATATTTCCTAAGCCCTTCTGTGATTCCTTCTTTCATCACTATTTATATGTGGTTCCAGATGTTCTGAATCTCTCAAATTTCTCATTTTTGCTTTTAATTGAACCCTATTATACACAGAGAGTACATTTTGTATTTTAAAAATTATATTGATTGTAAAGAATCTCATCTTACAGCTTACCACCTGCTTACTGTGCATATGTTCCTTGGGTAATTGAGAAGAATGCCGAGGATGTTGAAAGTTTCTACTGCTATCAACTGACTTACAATTTTGTTTTAGTCTTTAATATTTGCGTTGAATTTTTGCCCAGTTTTTCTACTTTTGTGAGTTTTATACTTAACGTCTGTAGTACTGACTTTTCTATGTTCTCTTTACAATTCTGTCATTTTTCAATGTGTAGAATTTCCTGGCTCTGTTCTTGGATATGCATGTAATTATAATTTTATATCTGCCCAATGGATGATCCAGCTCTTTTAACATTGTTGCTTGCCTGGTTACGTTTTCAGCCTTCTTACACTCAAGAAGTTTGCGCCTTTGTGAACGTACTGTCTCCTGTCTTTGTGAATGTCCTATGTCTCCTCTGAACAGTTAATGCTTCTTATCTGTTTCTTCCAGCAAGTCTGACCATCTCTGGTGTCTGCGTCATTGACTGAACCATTCATATTTAATTATTTCAATGGGAAATTATTTATATGTTTTTATGTGTGTCTGAAATTTTGATTTGTTCTAGGTTTCATAACTTATGTTGGTTTTAACTATTTCCTTTTGTCTTAAGTAGAAATTTTTTAGATTTTTAGTTTTAATTTATCTTTTCATTTGGAGATAATTATTCATATGCAGTTGCAAGAATACTTAGAGATTCTGTTTAACTTTTAAGCAGTCTATTCTACAGCACCACATACAGCCAGGATATTATAAGTGACACAGTCACAATAGAGACTCCTCTAACTGTGCTATTCTGTGGAGCCACTCCATAGCTTTCATCCTAATTCCCTTAGCTTCTGGGCAAATGCTGTATGAATGGACTCATCGAATATGTAACATTACTGGGGTTTTTCACACATCCATTCTGGAAGTTTTCTCAGCCTTAACTACTTCTTAAAACAAAAATTAAGTCATTCCATTTTCTCTAGCTTTTAGATATATCAGTGTAGCCTCTTCAAGTATTTTAGGGTTTTCAGGATGAACTGTATTGCTCCACTGGTTTGTGATTCACTATTTTTTTTTGATATACCATCTAACTATGTAGTTCAGACCGGCCCTGAACTCACGGCGAGCCCAGGCTGCCATCACACTGAAGGCAATTCTCCTGCCTCAGCCTCCCCAGGGCTGGAATTACAAGTGTGTGCTACCGTACCTGGCTGAGTTTATGATTCATATTTCTTAGACCTGCTTAGTAATTTACCACTCATCAACTTTTTCAGTTTCTGAATTTTGTCTTTAGCTTTTCTCCTTTTCCTTTCTCTGTAGTTTTTGTTCTTCTGAGCTTTTAGCTTTCTACTAATATTTCCATAATTACTTAAGAGAAGTTTCAGGCACACCTGGCTTTGAATAGATGCAGCCAGTGTACAATCTTTCTGACTTAGATTTTTCACCTTTGTAAATATAGGTATTCTCATTTAAATCTTATAATTTAGAGCTAAAGTTCTCTGCCAGCTGTATTATCATTAATTTTTGACAGTGGAATTATACCTTGTCTGTAGTCTTTTTTTATTTTTTATATTCCCAGTTTTCACACTGCATACATACTACATTGTTTGCATACTGATAATGCGGTATTGGTAAAAACTACTATGCTGTTAAATAAATAATAATTAAACTTTAAATAATTTTTAAATTAAACAGAATAATCACAATAATTGAGTGTTACACAATGTATCTGTAGCTCTAAAAGGTAATTGTATTTTTCAGTATAAGCACCTGGGTGGTGATACAGCTGTTGTCACGCAGAAAATTTTCCAGTTGGTTGGACTGATGAACGCTGTAAGTGTTTGCTTCTTAAATAACTTTTGCACTTGCTTTTGTTACTAGAACAATTCCCATACCTTCTTTTATGACACTGCCTGAGTACCCACGTTTTCTGATGTGGGAGAGCTAAATTTTAGTTTACTATCTATAAAGTAGCAAAAACAATAATTGTAAATAGCTAGTTAAGATTTTTTTTTAAAAAAAGGGGGAAGGGGATCAAGGGATGAGTGGAGGGGGGAAGGAGGAAAAGGAAAGTGGATGAAAAATGGAAGTCAAATGTGTTATGTACATGTACCAACTTCACACAAGAAAGGTAAATATTATATAGTACACACACACTAATAAAGTAAAATAATTTTTAAAAATAAAAATTTAGCCAGATGTGGTAGCACACACTTGTAATCCCAGCCATTAGGAGGCTGAGATAGGAGAATCT